TGGAAAAAATTGAGTTGACCCTTATTCGAACAAAATTTAGTATGTAGTGCAAACTTGACACCATGCACCATTGACGACAGTATTGAGATATTGAAAAGGTTACAACGGAATTAACTGCAGCTTTTTTGTTATACATTTGTTGTGGAAAGAAAAAATTTGTAGCTTTCGTTTTTTAGAGAATTTTAGCGATGGAAATTTAGCGTAGCGATTGTCAGAATTCCACTGCAGGATTGTGCTGAGTAGGTCAATACCTAAATATTTTCGTTGACTCATTTACCAGAACCATTGCGCGCTTTACTTTACAGCGCCTTGGCAGAATCAATAGGTTTCCACGAATATCGACAAATACATTTCGGCATTTAAGGGAATTTCGTCTCCTTAGCCTACATTGAATTTCTGCAGTCCAACGATTCTCAATCATTTTATCTTGTTGTCGCCAGCGAATGAAGAACAACCATTTCTTCAAATTTAAAATAAAAATATCACTACTAAAAATTTAAAAATTTTCTTAAAACCTGCAAAGAAATTTGGAAAAGAAATATCACTGTTTTTGTTTTTAGGAGTAGGGGGGGAGTGTCATTGATAAAATTAGAGCGAGAGAAAGTTTTTCTTACAAAACCTTTCGTTATTGAATCATGATTTTTATGCATAAATATCGATGCCTGCAGTTCAGGGTTACGAAATCTCCTTTTGGCCACAACGTCGATTAAGGCAGTTTTTCAACTGGTCGATGGGCGGTTTTACAAAAACATCGACGATATATTCAATACAAAAAAAAAAAAATTTTGCCAGATCCTCCTGCGTTTGTCCAGCGCATTATTTTTATACTTTTTACTACATCCATGTCATACAAAATCTCGTAAAATTCGTTACCCTCCCTTCTTGGATACCTCCATCGTCGCAGAAAGGGTGGAATTGTACTGAATGATGGTCAAAATGACATTATGAACAGCAGTAAAGCATTAATAATAATAATAGATTGGCGCTTACACATATGTTAGTGTTTGGCCGAGCTTCTACTCCGATGGACAAAGTGGAAGGACCTACAGTTTTACGCCGACNAAACTTGACACCATGCACCATTGACGACAGTATTGAGATATTGAAAAGGTTACAACGGAATTAACTGCAGCTTTTTTGTTATAAATTTGTTGTGGAAAGAAAAAATTTGTAGCTTTCGTTTTTTAGAGAATTTTAGCGATGGAAATTTAGCGTAGCGATTGTCAGAATTCCACTGCAGGATTGTGCTGAGTAGGTCAATACCTAAATATTTTCGTTGACTCATTTACCAGAACCATTGCGCGCTTTACTTTACAGCGCCTTGGCAGAATCAATAGGTTTCCACGAATATCGACAAATACATTTCGGCATTTAAGGGAATTTCGTCTCCTTAGCCTACATTGAATTTCTGCAGTCCAACGATTCTCAATCATTTTATCTTGTTGTCGCCAGCGAATGAAGAACAACCATTTCTTCAAATTTAAAATAAAAATATCACTACTAAAAATTTAAAAATTTTCTTAAAACCTGCAAAGAAATTTGGAAAAGAAATATCACTGTTTTTGTTTTTAGGAGTAGGGGGGGAGTGTCATTGATAAAATTAGAGCGAGAGAAAGTTTTTCTTACAAAACCTTTCGTTATTGAATCATGATTTTTATGCATAAATATCGATGCCTGCAGTTCAGGGTTACGAAATCTCCTTTTGGCCACAACGTCGATTAAGGCGGTTTTTCAACTGGTCGATGGGCGGTTTTACAAAAACATCGACGATATATTCAATACAAAAAAAAAAAAATTTTACAAGATCCTCCTGCGTTTGTCCAGCGCATTATTTTTATACTTTTTACTACATCCATGTCATACAAAATCTCGTAAAATTCGTTACCCTCCCTTCTTGGATACCTCCATCGTCGCAGAAAGGGTGGAATTGTACTGAATGATGGTCAAAATGACATTATGAACAGCAGTAAAGCATTAATAATAATAATAGATTGGCGCTTACACATATGTTAGTGTTTGGCCGAGCTTCTCCTCCGATTTGTGGCGTGCGCCTTGATCTTGTCACACAAAGTGGAAGGACCTACAGTTTTACGCCGACTTCGAAAGGCGATTGTATTTTTATGAGAAGCTGTTTTTCATGGCAGAAATACACTCGGAGGTTTTCCATTGCCTGCCGAGGGACGACCGCTGTTAAGAAAAAACCTTTTTTCTATATTTTTGCGATGTTGCTTTGACCAGGGCTTGAACCCAGGCGTTGCGGAGTGGAAGCGCGCACTGCTTACCACTACACCTCAGCGGCCGATTAACCGAGGATATAATCTAATTCTGAAGAATTGGCTGATGATAGGAGTTTTAGTTTGGGCTCCAGTTCTATACTGACGGTTTGGTTAGAAGGAATGAAGAAGTCGCACGAAAATTAGTTATTTTGTCTAAAATATCATTTGGTCTCGAATGGCTCGAGAAGGCTCCTCCTAATTTGAATGGAGCTCGTGAGACGTACTATATTATTTTGGGTCCCAAAATTAGACGTGATGCCGTTGACGCAGGTCCTCTTCGTATTACGATATCACTGTCGGAAAAAGTATTGGCACAGCGAATCTTTCACAATATATGCAACAATTTTTATTCCGATATTTTTCCGCTATTTTTTAATAAAAATATGGTTCATTCTACAACAAACGACATAAAAAAAATAATTTCCAAACTCTGTGAAATACTCGCAATTTTTCAACTTTTTAATTAGATCTTTTAGAATTTTTTTGAGGATGAAGATTTGTAGCCCAATAAATTTTATTATAACAAAGTGCAAGTTTGAAGTAGCAACGACTTACCTTTGATTTTTGGCAATTTTTTTCCACGCAGCTTCTTCCATAAAAATAACAATTCGAAAATACTTTGAATGGAAAAAATGCAAAACACCTCCACCAAAAAATATTCTCAAAAATAAACCGAACTTGCATTTTTTATACTACAATTTAATGGGCTACAAAATTCCAAAAAATCTGATTAAAAAGTTAAAAACTTGCATGAAAATGTATAAAATTTTCGCGAGTTTTGCACGAAGTTTAGAAATTATATTTGTATGTTTTTTTATTGTAGAATGAACCATATTTTTATAAAAAATTAGCAGAACAAAATTTAAATAGATATTGTTGCATATATTGTGAAAAATTTACTGTACCAATACTTTTTTCCGGCAGGTACATCGTCACAAGATACGAATAAAGGAGCGCTAGTGTTTTGACGGCGAAAAAAGACGCTTAAAAAAATTCACGAAAAAAGACGCTTAAGAAAAATTTCGGCGAAGAAAGACGCGTGACGTAGATGACGGCGAAGAAAGACGCGTAAATATAGATTTATACCAGGCCAAGGATTGTAACTTCAGCATCATTCCTCAAAAACTCTTTGGGCGTATTTACATACTGTTACACCCGCAAACATAGTTGACCGCGAATATAAGGTCACGCATCTTTCTTCGCGGTCAAATAGTTTAACGCGTCTTTCTTCGCCGTCGACTATTTTAAGGGTCTTTCTTCGCTGAAGTTTTTTTATGTGACTTTTTCGCGGTCAACTTTTGAGCTTGCGCCTTTATTCGTGTCTAATGACGATATAAATATTTATACATGTATTAACGGTTTGTGTACATTTGACTTCTTATTTCTAAATTAGGTACAATTGATAAATTTCATTTTCATACATACATACATACATTTTTTCAAGACACACTTGTTGTTTTTCTTATTCTTATAGTTTTCATTTACATTTTCAGACAAGGAAGCGTTGCGTCTGAGGGTAGCTCATTCGTGTGTGAAGGCGAAGGAGGCGGTGGTACAAACATCGACGAATATCAGGCTGCATGGAATGTTACTAATGCCATTCAAGGAATGTTCATCGTATCATTGCCGTTCGCAGTGCTGCACGGAGGTTATTGGGCCATCATAGCAATGATTGGCATAGCTTATATCTGCTGTTACACGGGAAAAGTTCTGGTGCAGTGTTTATACGAACCCGACCCAAATACTGGTCAAATGATTCGAGTGCGCGACAGCTACGTTGCAATCGCAAAGGTCTGTTTTGGCCCAAAACTGGGGGCTCGTGCTGTTAGCATTGCGCAACTGATTGAGCTGCTAATGACTTGCATTCTTTATGTAGTTGTGTGTGGTGATCTATTAGCGGGCACTTATCCTCAGGGCTCATTTGATTCCAGATCTTGGATGATGTTTGTAGGTATATTTTTGTTGCCAATGGGTTTTTTGAAATCACTTAAAATGGTATCCACACTTTCATTCTGGTGTACCATGTCCCACATTGTTATCAATGCCATTATTCTCGGTTATTGCATATTAGAGATTGGAGAATGGGGTTGGTCCAAAGTACGATGGAGCATTGATATGGAGAACTTCCCCATTTCGTTGGGTGTCATTGTCTTTTCATATACTTCGCAAATATTTTTACCCTCCCTTGAGGGCAGTATGGTCGATCGTTCCAAATTCAACTGGATGTTAGATTGGTCGCATATAGCAGCAGCGATTTTCAAAGCCGGCTTTGGATACATCTGCTTTCTAACTTTCCAAGATGACACACAACAAGTCATCACAAACAATCTGCACTCACAAGGTTTCAAGGGTTTAGTAAATTTTTTTTTAGTAATAAAAGCAATACTCAGTTATCCATTGCCATATTATGCTGCATGCGAACTACTGGAACGAAACTTTTTTCGAGGGCCGCCTAAAACGAAATTTCCCACAATATGGAATTTGGACGGGGAATTAAAAGTCTGGGGACTAGGATTTCGGGTAGGTGTAATAGTTTCCACGATTATGATGGCCTGTTTCATTCCACATTTTTCAATTCTTATGGGATTTATTGGTAGTTTTACGGGCACCATGTTGAGCTTCATTTGGCCATGTTATTTCCATTTAAAAATCAAGGGTCATCTACTAGATCAAAAGGAGGTTGCAAAAGACTACCTCATTATCAGTCTCGGAGTCTTGTTCGGCGTTATAGGCATATACGACTCAGGAAATGCATTAATTAATGCTTTTGAACTCGGGCTACCATTTTAAAATGGGAATGGTAAAGCGCAAATTATCTCGAAATTACGTGAATCGAAAGTGACACACTTTAAGTTAATCACATGTAAAAGTTTCAATAGACAGTTGGTATATTATTACGGAGAATTGATTGATTCATACAAATGTATTTGTGACGTTTTTGTTGCAGGATATACGTATGTAGTAATTTAGATGCTTAATTTGTTCATACAATTTTTTTTATCTTTAGAGTAAGATAGCTATAGCCATTTAACAATTAGTCAAAATGGCAAAATTTAAAATAAGAAACGATGTCTTCCAAATGATATGTGTAGAATTATAAAACAGATGTTCTATACAAATTGTAACGTGAAAAATGTCTTCCAAAACGATCTTAGTATAAAAATATATACAATAATATTTGATTAAGAATAGTACATACAAATGCATCTCCTACATGTGTTTGTGCTTAGTTTAAGAATAATGTTGAAACATGTCTTCCAAGATACTTACATATATCATATACTTACTATTATAGATAGATACTTATATACATGTACATGTATTGTATTATATGGATATTTTTTTTTTTATTGTTCAAATACATTAGAATATATAACCTTGATTACGTTGTTTTTATCGAACAAATTTGTATTCTTCTCATAATCGTGTGTAATGTGTAATAAGATATTCCCATCAAAATATGTAGAAGAAAAACGGAACTTTCAAACAAATCGAAAGCCTTCAAACAAAAGCAACCCTTAAACAATTCGTACCAACAGATGCAAGCTATTTTTTAAACCATAGTATATATTCAAATACAATTAGACGCCAAATTCGAAAGGAAATGTTTTAACAAGTCAATGATGGCTCCTTTTACAACGAAAGAAGTCAAAAGGCGCCATTTGTTAAAGTGGGAACAGAATTCCAGAGGGTTTTTGAAAATTTATCGTACAACCTTACATTAATAGCCGACGTTGTGGCAGCAAATTTCGTAGCCCTTTTGCTTCAATGTGGAGGTTGAAACTCCTGAAATTGTATACAGGTGCTGTACTTTCTACTGGAACTGGAAACACATATAAAAATAATACAATATATTCGTCGGTAATGGTGACAGGTAACAAGATCAACGGAAATAAGGTCAATTGACTTTATTTCCCACCCTGGTGCGAAATAAAGTAAATTGACATTATTACCTTTTCAAAAGCGAAATAAAGTCAACAAAAATTTGGAAATAAAGTCATTGACGCTATTTCCTCATTCAAATGGAAATAGCGTCAACAATGCTTAAAGTATGTCGATTCATAGAAAAAAATGTTGTTCTTACAATAAACATTGCCCCGTAAGTGTTGTTTTTTAATAGATGAAAAAGGCTTTTGCCAAATCCTCAGTGTTGTGATATTAATCCACACACAATCATGAACTACCACCAATTGATTTTATTAAAAAAATTTAAATTACGAATATGTAAAAACACGATGCGAAAAACTAAACGCCTGCGCACAGCTGGAATACGAGAAATATTTGAAGAAAGAGTGGAGAAATGATCCATAACTTGCAAAACATTTTTCGTTTCTACAAAAATAAAGCGAACACTATTAAATTGAAGAAACAGTACATGTCCAAAAACCCCGGAGGAGCACTGAAAGAATTCTGTGTTTTAAATTAGCATATTTTGAACGAATTCGGAATGTCTAAGGTGGAAAAGAAACCAACCTTTCTATAAGGAAACAATTATAGAAAAAGAATTTTCTTACACTGTATTCATGTCTCCGCCAGCAATTTGTGACGACATCATTTAAAAGCAGCTAAGGAGAACGACGACACTATTTATTAGATGGCACATTCAACGAGCCAATGTGCCAAAATGCGGGTATAAACAATTATTGATTATTTAATATCGGAACCGAGATCATATAAGTTAATTGATTGGTTTTCACACACTTTTGAAACACAAATTATATGCTTTTTTACTGCAGACAAGTTGTTGCCTCAAAACACAGCAGAAATCTTCCAATCAGGGCTGCCAACTCTCCTTAGTTATGAGAGGCCCTATTGAGGATAAAAAAGTGCCAAAATGTGCCAAATAGAAAAATAAAAGTGCCAAAAAAGGTGTCATTCCTTTTAATCATTCACATTAAGCAATAAAATAAAGCTTCATTTTCCAAACAAAATTGCAATGATAAAATAAGATAAACCAGTTGAATAGCCTTTATAAATTAGAAACTTTTAGTTGAGAAAAAGAAGTGCTAGCATAGGATTTCACAAAATTGTATTAAAATGTTATTTTTTTTACAAAAGTGCCATTTTGGCACTTTGTGCCAAATTGAAAAATTAAGTGCCATTTGAAGTAAAACAGGGACAAATGGCACGGTTTGAGCCAAGTTGGCATCCCTGCTTCTAATAACTTACAAATATAAAAATGTGAAATATCGAGGGCTTGAATTCATTAATACCCTCTATCTGCAATTTGCACAAAAACTAATTTGTGATTTTAGAAACCATCTGGGACTTATTACCTGTCGTTATATAAGGTAGCATTAATATTACTGATGACAGTTAAAGCTTAGGTGGATTTTTATATCAGCCCTCGATGTTTAAAATCAGACAACAGCATGAGTTTACTCGCTTCCATCTAAAGGTTAGTGAGAAACACCGTACAAACAGTGAGATTCATAGTTAGTTTTGAAATCAATGTTTAGCTGCAGTGTACTCATTTGATTTCAAATACGGCGTTGATATATTCTTTCCAAATCAAGTCAAGCAAGTGAAAAATGCTGTTATGAAAAGCAAGTTGAGCAATCGAATGACACCCATTGACTTCAAACAATTAGTAGAGAATACGAAAATTTTGAAAAAATTGATATTGATGAAGTATTTTTTAAAATATATTAGTTTTACTAAATTATTTAGTTATGCACCTGACGTACATTTATATAGTTATAGGTATAGTCTACAAAAGAAATGCAATGTTACCTCAGAAGACATCGGCTTTATAAGGGACTTGAAAAATAAGTTGCTTTATTATTTAAAAACAGTTGCTGTTGAAAACTAAAGATTTGCACAAAATTGTGCTTTTTTTATACCCGCCAGCAAAAGAGTTCAAGAACTTTACCGCATCTGAGCAAAGGTACACAAAAGAGAAATGTTTACAAATTATGAGAACGTTAACTGAGAATTCTGACAGTACAACGGAACCACAAATTGCGGATACACCCCTGCAGACAACTTTGAGCTGTAATCAGTTGATATTTTTGCATTATAATATGCAGTTAGGAAACCAATAAAATTAACAAAAATTGTCTTTACAAATGTTTTTTCTTTGATACTTTCATTACAGCAGTTATGCCATGCACTTGTTTTTCAAATCAAGCACTTGTTATTTGAATCGAGCACTTGATAGTGTGAATTACTCACTCAACCGACAATGTTTTTTCAATGCTATCGCACGTTATGTTTGGAAATAAATGAGTGCGATTGTGTGCAGATGTGAAAAGAAAGCGAGTGACTTAAAATGTAATTTGAGTGTATCCATGCAGCTCTCTGTTTAAAATATATAAAATTTTATTTTAATGTATACAAAAAATAAATCTACCTGCGTTACAGCATGGCGGAGACGGATAAGGGGCCGGAACTAAATACACAAAACAACGCGCGCAGAAAAAAACAATCAGGCTACATGCCGCACAGTGTAACGTCTCCATGTAAGCTGCAGACAAAAATAGTAACCATAGTTAGTGTTACCACTTTGGTAAATTATTACCAAAACTGGGAGAACAATTTTGGTTTGGTAGACAGGTACATTTTTTTATTTTGGTAAATTTTTGTTGAAATATTGTATGTGAAAAACAATTGAAAGTTGAAACATTCCGTTCTCTCTTAATATGTTGTAGTTATCGTATATCCTTTCCAAAACTTCCTAAAATGTATTTAACTTTTTAGCATTAGTGTTCGAACGATTTAACGCAAACTTTTTATGTAAATATATATTTTTATGTAAATACGTATTTCAGATCCTTCCTCCGGTAGCAGAATACGAAAATAGGGCGCTAGGAACCTAACAAAATGGAAAAAATTTCAATATTGCGAAAACTGAATGAGCTACTCCGAAAACCGCAATTTAAAAGATTGTTTTACGATACGTTTAGATCTTTATATGGAACATTCATCTTGCCCAAGATAAAAACGATAGATATCCAACTTAATGTAGAATACACACGGCCCAAAGTGACTATTTTTCTCATGAATTTCTCACGAATTTTAAAATTTGTTCGTTAGGATTTTGCAAATAGTAGCAGTTTGTCATACTTCAAATTTACTTTTTAAAACAGCGAACAAATTTTAAATCGAGTTATATTCGAATTAGTATACTAGGTTTAAGTAAAGTCATGTTGAGTAAAATCAGGTTGTTCATTATTCGAATAAATTAGAGCTTTCTTTCAGTAATATTTCACAAATCACTTTATTTAAATGAAGTATATACTTAAATGTATGTTTAAGTGACTTTCGCCCACTTGAAGGATGCATCCCTGCGAATCCTTTAATCCCAAATGCATCCCTGCGCTTGCACCGAATTAAAGCACCCCTGCTTAAATATTCCAGACACTGGCTACGGTTGCCTTCCAGTGTAACCTATAAAAGGCAGTTGCAACCTTGCCTAAGGAAGACAGCAGGGCTCATGCTACCGAAGCAGCAACTTAATTTGATATACAACTCAATTCTGTAGCTGCACCAGATCGCCCTAACTAAGTCGTATGACTGAGCAATTATATATAGATTATTTAAAAAAAAAAAAAAATTTAACAATTTTTTTGTCATTTTCCTATATTTGCAATTTTTATATTGTATGCATAAACATAAGTAAACTAGTGCTTCTAGAAGTTGTGCCTGTTCAGTGAAGAGAAGGTTTATCCTTAACAGCGGTCGCCCCTCGACAGGCAATGGCAAACCTCCGAGTGTATTTCTGCAAAGAAAAACAGCGTAAAACTTTAAGCCCTTCCCTTTGTGTGACAACATCAAGGCGAACGCCACAATCGGAGAAGCTCGGCCCAACACTAACATATGTGTAAGCGCCAATCTATTACACAAGGGAACAAAAATGGGAAACAATTTCGTTGCATCAAATGTTAAAGCTGTTTTGGATAGACTTTTTTATGCTGATTACGAATCCGTAAGTATAAAGTCTCAATCAGCTCTAGATTTGGAAAAAAACGAGGTCAAAGTGTCAAAAAATCGCGTTTTTTGCAATATTTTAGAAGCCATAGCAAAGAAACTAAAGGTGATATTAGGCTTAAATTAAAGCTAGAAGTCTCGAGTACTATCTCTGAAAACACCATCCCTACACGTTGAATTGATGGTCACTTATAGTAATCAGCATAAAAAAGTCTATCAAAAACAGCTTTAACATTTGATGCAACAAAATCACTGTTCCCTTGTGTTATTATTATTTTTAAAAGAACCTAAACAATTTGTTCTAAAAAATTGTTTCTTAAAATGTACCTACGAGATGGATTTTTCGTATTGTACATATTGGAAAAATTCATGGAAAATTTGCTAAGTCCAACAAAAAAAATTTTAAGAAAAAAGTAGAAAATTTACCAAGTCACAAAATTATCTACAAAATTTAAAAAAGCAGACTTTTTTATTATTTTTTTTTTTTAATAAAGGGTAAATGAAAAACGCGAAACATTGCATTCAAAGTTTTGCAAGATACTTAAGGAAAATTACTTAGCAACGTTTTTTGTGTCTCCTGTACAATTGAAAAAAAATGTACTTAGCAACTTTGCACTCTAAGCTAGCGATATGTATATCAGAAAATTAATAAGATGAAATGAAATTATTGTTTGATTTCTAACCAAACCTATGTATGTATGTAACTCAATTGCCTAATGGTTTGCCGAACCGTAAACATATTTTTACACATCCAATTTCGTGAGTACACGGTTAAAAATTTCGGTTTTAATTTTAAACTTTTTGGACTACATATATGACCAAACTAAACTCAGTTTCAAATACAAACCTTCCAAGTTTAAAAAAAAGAGAGCACTTATGTTGGGTTTAGAATTTAAACAATTCGGTTTAAATGTTAAACCCAAACATTTTCATAATTAAGAATT